AGTAGGAGTGCACTCCTCTGAGCGAGGATTCTTCTAACGATCTTGATGCCTCAAGATTCCTGTCATGTATTTAACATAAAGATGAGTCACATAAATGGATTACTGCTCTGGCAAAGAAGTGACCGAGATAATCATGCTCTGACAAGTCAAAGAAACGGCTGGCCATGAGTTCTCTATGTTCATGATCAACATCATTAGACGTATATATCTGTCTCCGAGAGGCTGTTTCACTGTAGTGGTTATGAACACTGACTCTGGAACCAGACTGTGTGGGTTTGAGCACTGCCTCCACCAGTAGTGAGCTGTGTTACCCTGGGCAAGTTTCTGAACCTCTCTCTGCCTGTTTCCTCGTCTGTAAAAATGAGAATTACAGGGTTGTCTGGAGGATGGATGGATGAATGAATGAATGTCAGTGCTTCTGTTTGAGTCCCTGCCCTCTGTAATCAAAGCAGCAAACCTAACTTGGATAAATTCCAAAAGTTCCCAACATATCATTCGGTTGCCTGGACCTCCGTGCAGAGAGTGGGAGGAAGAGAACACACCAGAGACCGTGACCCACCTTGTCCTGGAAGTTAGGGTTCGAGCCGAAGCTGCACAGTAACTGAACCACATCGGCATGGCCGTAGCGAGCTGCCACATGAAGGGCTGTCTCTCCAGACTGCAAAAGACACAGCCAAAGATTCAGAGCCCCCGGGGAGCCGTCTCCCACACAAGCCTGGTTCTGCATCCTCCCCTGAGCTGGTGCCCACCCCCCTTAGGCCTGGTGTCCCTTTGGTGACTGTGCAGGGACCTTGGAGTAGAGTGTCCGCCACCAGCTAGTGTTAAGCCCACACACCTAGCTCATCCTGCGTGTAATAACCCCCTGCCCTGCCCAAGTGAGAGTGTGTTCCCTTTTCGATGAAGGCTGTTCTCAATCTTCTTTATATACTGATGCTTCCAGCTATGTGATTTTTTTTCAACACACAACATTCCTTTTTTAATACTATGTTATTTAAACACAGGGTTTTATTTAGGAGCAATTTTCTGATTTCACTCTCTATGTTCAGAATGTTATTTCTTACCATTCTCAGAGACTTTAAAAAACATCACCATGAGCCCACATAATAACATTCTGTGAACTAGTAATAGATGCAACTTCCTTAGGAGAGTTTACTTATATCTGCCATAAAAGTGTCAGAATAAACTAATCTCAAACAAAACAAAACAGGATAACTTGTTGCTGCCTGAGAGAAAACTATCATAATAAATACACGTGTCTTGGATATGAACGTCATCCCTCAGATATGGTGCAGTGCACAATTCGCGCAACTGTGCGTGGCAGCCCTGATTGAACATGACAAATCAGTCTACCAGGATTAGAAACAGAGAAGAGTTGCACAGGGGACATAACAGATGAGAAGGTAGGAATCCTAGGTGCAGGTCCCAGCCCTGCAATTCATCCACAGGATTGTTGTGTGGACTGAATGAAACACGGATACGTGAAAGTAAGGTATCCTCGTAAATCAATACTTTTTATAACATCTTTACCCCAACAGCCTTACTTTATGTGCACTGTCTCATTAATCCTTCTAGCACCAGTGACGGTAAGGTCAGCGTTGTCAGCCACTTCAAAGAGGAAGAGGCTAGTAAAAGGACCAGGACTCAGATCTCTTTCTGGCTGTGTCTCTAGCAGATCTTTTGAGTTTTCATGTTGTGGGCAAGAGTCCACTGCTTACATAATAAGCAACTACTTGGCATATTTCAGCTAAAGTCAGATTTTCATATGAGACCAAGCCACCAGGAAAAAGGAACTTCTAAGTTAAATCTCTGCAGGAAGACTTGGGCCCTGAATCCCTGCTCTCTGGGCCATGCTGCCCACGGCCCGCCAACACTCAAGGCAACCTTTTGTTACTTTCCCCATCCTAAAGAAGAGAAATGGCCTTACCTTGTCTTTCACATCCAAAGGACATTTGTTCTCATGGAGAAATTTCAGGGTATCTACGTGGCCATGCCGAGAAGCCCAGTAGATGGCATTGGATCCACCCTGTGCAAAAACCAAGGCAGAGTCACCTTCCCAGAGAGCTGTTGGATCTGAACGTACGCATCACTCAGTCACTATACACCCCTTCCCATGTGATGGCAGCTCCAAAGGAGCAACTCTCAAGACGAATAAAACCCCATTTCCTTTTTCAATATGACAAAAGGACCAAGGTTATGTAGGACATTAACATTCCAGGAAGCTGCGTGAAAGGAGTAAGGCAGCTCTCTGTACTATCTTAATAGATTTTTTTTCTTTGTAAATCTAGAATTATTTCAAAATAACAAGTTATTTTTCTTTCCTTAAAATCATTTCAACTCCTGATGAGAAGTCCCTATATTGTCAAGGGCCAGATCTAGTCCGTTTACGGCTCTGTGGAAAGTCTGTGGATGCAGGCGACAGGTCCACTATAATGACAACTAGCAGATCATCTCTCATGTCTGCACCTCAGAGCGTATCCTCCTTACTCTGATGCCCTCATAAACGTGCAGGCAAATACATTTCTGATGCAATTAATTAGATAATGAAGTCTTCTCCAAACATAACATCAAATAACACTGCTGAAGAAATGATCAGTAAAGAGGAAAATCTGGGGTTTGGCGACAGAGCCCCGAGGGGGATGAATGTCTGCCCTTTCCTGTATAACGTGCTAGACAGGACCAGGCTGTTTAAGCAGTTCACCTTCCTTTAAGGGAAACTGAGAAATGAAGTAGCGCATCCGTGTTATTCTCTGTTACCTCTATGATTAGAGACATTTGGAACTCCTTAAAAAATTAATCCCTTTGCAGTAAGATAGAATTATGACCTTATCCTGGACATCGATTCTTGAGCCTCTTTTAATGAGCAACTGTAGTATCTGAATATTCCCACAGCCAGCAGCAATAAGTAACGGAGGTGTCCCATGCTGGAAAAGGTGAGAAAAGAAATTACTATTTTTCAGGTTTGGTAGGAAAGGAACAGCCCAGACGATCACTGCTGCCCCACACACCTTCCCGTGTCTCAACCGACACGTACCCTGCGGGACAGGGATGGAAGACAGTCAGAGGAACACGGTAGCCCATCCTCGTTTGAATTCACAATCAGAAGTGACATTTCCATTTACAGGATGAGTGCATTTAAAATTTCATGGTTAGAGATGCTCAAGGTGCACGTCCAAAGGCCTTGCATGAAGGCCCTCGATGCAACAAGATCTTATTTCTAACTCAAGCCACTCTCTAAACAGAAGTGATTTTTTCCCACAGTACGGAGTTTATAACAGGAAGGGAGAATGAAGGAGCAGACGGGGGTCTTCCCACCTTGGACTTGGAGGTGCACAGTCGCCGTGACCCACCCCCCGACCCGCACCACCCTTGGCAGGACGGCGTCGGACCTTGTTGGGCTGGTTGACATCATAGCTGGACAAGGAGCCCAGGAGGTGCTGCAGGCCTGGGACGTTGTCATCGTTGATGGCGTGGACGATAGCCTTCATCACAAAGGAGTCTTCCTCGTCCTCGAGAGAGACAGCGCAGAGAGAGCAAGGGTTAGGGTGCTGGCCGCGACCCTCCTGTCAACATCCCAGAAACCAAGGCTCATTTGTCAAAAGGAGCATCCAGAGAGAAGTGAGCCATTTAATCCCCAAATCCACACGGTCGTGAAGGGAAGTACGAGGTTACTTTTGGCCCTTCCGTGTTGGAAACTAACACCACCTGCTGCTTACCTGTGTCTTAACATCACCGGCACTGCAACCCAGAGAGCAAACAGCTTTTAAGATTCAGCTTTAGAACAAGGATGGATGACAAACTACCTTTATTTGTGTTTATTTTAGGAATCTTTCAACACATATGGTCCCAGAAACCACTCCAGGAAATTTCAGGTGTAACTCAGATTCTAAAAACCTGAATAAGAAAGTCTTACTCAGTAATTGTTCCAATTACAGGTTGTCATTTTAGAAATTCTTCATTCTCTAGGTATTCTGTAACAGCAAAATTCTCTGAAAGCTGATCACAATTATTTTTTTTAAAGGGGGGGAGCCTAAAAGGGGAGAAATATAAAAATAAAGGCCAGAAAAAGGAAAATGGGTGCAATTCGAATTATAAAGAGGAAATAGCTAGACAATGTTGCACAACGAGTTTGTTAAATTCTTGCTACTTTATCAAAGTTTTCTTATAAGATATTTGCAACATACGGTAAATGCAAACCAAAAAATCAGCGAGAAAAATCCCAAACAAAAGTTTTAAACTTATGTGCATTCACAGAGTTAGTCTCCCTTGATGTAGCTGTCAAGTGATCAGGTGAGAAGTGCTTTTTTCACACAGCAAATACCACAAAATCCAACAAAATGTGGAACGTTGTCTTCTCCTCCCCAGGACACCTTATGCCAAAACAGATTTTAGGTAATCACAGATTCACATGTCACTATTAATTAAAGGTGCAAGTGTAACCATTCTTAAGACATGGCCAAAAACAGAACCACTAACAAAAAGGACTGAGACATCTGAGTCAATTGCAGTTTCGTAAGGCGGAGGGAGTGGTGAATAAGGGGGAACACAGAGGATTCCTTAGGGCAGTGGGAAAAAAAAATTTGGACTTACAGAATATGTAGAGCTACTAACATGTCAAATCTACACAGCAGTGGGTACCAGGATGGTGAAACAGTCAACTCACAACAGGCTTGCAGGCCTGAGATGGTGGGAGGCGGCCTCCAGCGGACACTGAGCTTCATTACTCACTGTGAGGTACCAGCATGGCGAATGACACTGCCACAGGCACCATGACAGTTCCAAGGCTGACCACGGAAGGTCAAAGGGAGGGAGGTGGCCCGATTCTGGGAACCCCTGCCCGTTCCCTAAAGTAGATGGAATAATCCTCTCACTTATTAGCATTATAAAAACTGGCAACACCATGCCTCGCGGCCTCTCTCTCTTTCCCTCTGAGACAGCTTGCGCCGTCTATGGATTGTGTTATCTGCCTTTACTTTAACCACCCCACTGCACCCCGCCATGTACAGCTCTCTAAATAAATCAACTTTTATTAAAAAAAATTTAAATCTGGATAATCGTAGCTACAGAGGCTGAACCTCCGCTGTGGGGGTGGAAGGATGGAGAAATCACTTCTCTCAACTGTGCTTCCTCTTCTCTATAAATCTGAATCCAAATGAGCTTCATGGGGGCCTTAGTAATATCTGCATAGAGCACACATTAAAGAATGTCATGGGTTTTGCTTTTCTATCGCAATCCAAGTTGGAGATGAAGAGACACTGGCCTGAAAGCAGCAAGAAAAGGGAGGAATAAGCAGGATGCTGTAACACGTTCTCACAGTCAGCAGGATGCTGAGATGATGCGAGAGTGAACCTGATGTCCAGCTTCCCACCTGGAGCTCCTACACACACAGCCCCGAGTCCCTCTCCTACCCTA